AACCTGATTTTTATATAACATACAAGTGGAAGGTGGTGTGGAATTAGGGGCATTCTAAACAGAGTTTATAAAAATAATTAAAGAAAAAAAAAATCAAGAATCCAGCAAGGAACATTGTTGCTGTTTTGAAACCTGAGGGGTATATTTTAGTGTAAGGTATAACACACATTGCATATATATGAGCATTTATAACATACCTCCTTGGAAATTGCTGCTCAGCTGCAATTTCAGAACGTGGAGTAAAAAAGTAAAGATTTAAATAGAAATCTGCCTTTTAACTCTCAGTCCCAGGAAAACTGGTTGAAGGCCAGGAGGAGAGAGGGAGGGAGAGAAGAACTGGTGGCTTTTCCTCTTTCCCAAACTCTGCTGGGCTGCCCACTGTGACCATATCCATTGCTGGGATCAGCCTGGAAAGGCAGGAAGGACTCCCAGGCTCCCAACAGCTTCTCTCCCCTTTGCCCATCCCTGTCAACACCAGCCAGAAAACCTCGTACTCTTCTGTGCTTCCTCCTGCCTCTCACCCTCCTCCCTGGGATGGATTTGGCAGCAGGAGGTGGGAGATGCAGCCAGGCTTTGGGCTGGAGCAGAATGGGGAATATGCAGATGAAAGAAAGCCCTAGCAGGAAGTAATTTCCCTTTTCCTGGGGCAGGAGCCTCCACGCTGCTGACCTGCCTGGCCAGCTCCCTTCTCCAGGCTATGGAAAAGCTCCCATTCCAAAGGCAATAATTGTAACCAACTGGGAAGGCTCCCAGACAGGCTGGTTTTCAAGTGTAAGAGGGAAAAGCTTCCATTTGTCCTATTTTGTTCCCCTAATGAGAAAATCTGCTAGAAATATTTACCTGTTGAGAACCAACAAATTCAACTTCTCCACGACCCCTTTTCCTTTAAAATGGGGAAAAGGCAACCCCTTCTCATCCAGTTCAACCTGTCCTGGGTTTGTGCTGATCCTCCACTCAGAGAACCTGAACTCCAGAGCAGGACATTTCACTGGCATTTCCCAGCCTAGAAGCACAAAATCTCCAGGGAAAGCTTTTCCACAGCTTCCCATTTCTACAGTCAGGAACTTGTAACTAACTGGATGATCATTATCCTCCAAAATATGTTACTGCTTTTAAAGCCACCACTTGGAATTAAGGCAAGTGCACCTCTTGGTCTGTTTTACCACCACCCCAGGGCAGCACAGGCCTAAGAAAACATCTAAGTAAAAAACCCCAAAAGGTAGATGCCTCAAGGATAGGAAATAAACTAAATAAACCCTGTTTATTTAATAAATCCTGTAACATGGCAGTTTTCCCAACTGAAGGACTTCCCACTGAATGTGCTAATTCTCATTAAACTTCATTTTCTCATAATAAATGTCCCAAAAATATTTTTTTTTTTTATTGCTTCTGAAAGAAGGGGGAAAAAAATGAAATCAACTCAAGGCCTGACTTTTTAGGAGCCCAATAAACTGCTGTGCATGTGAAAACTGAATATGCATTTAATTTTCCCATCCCAGTAACTCCACGGTGCATGGACACACAGTGTGGTTGGTGATGACCCTTCACAGCTCAAGCTAAGTCTGAGTTTATCAGCTGGAGAAGTCAAGCTCAGCTCAGCCACGGTTGTCTGAGCTCACCCAACACCCAAAGCTCAGGAACACAACCATGAGGGTGCAATTTTTTTTGCCACAGAAGAGATTTAAAATGTAATCTCTTTAAAGGCCATCCCAGAGGGTTTTTTTTTCCCCTCTCTCCAGTTTTAAAAGTAGGATTTCTTTCTGTTTTTAGGATTAAATATCCCAAGTTACTGCACAAGTGCAGAGAGGTGACAGGACAGGGGATTGTTCACAGAATTGATGAGTGACTCTTGTTTAATTCAGACAAACCAGCAGGTTTTAACCCCTGTGGGTCCATGGCCTGATTCTAAAGGATGCAGATCCTGAAAAACTTCTGTGCTTCAGGAGGAGGGAAGAACCGGAGTGAATCCAACCAATCTGACACTGAGGACTCCTAAATAGCAGCAACCATCAGTGAGCAGCTCACTGTGTCCCTTGGAGGTGCTCTGATGGTCTCATCACAGTCAGTTAGGAACCTGCCACTGCCCTCCTTCGATGGGCTTTGCATCAGCCCTGAGGTATCCCAGTCACGTGGACACCGTTCCCATTTCCTACAACTTACACATTTTTTTTTTTTTTTGAGACTTAAAGCACCGAAGTCTCAAAGCCTTGACTCAGTGTGTAATGGGTTTAACATGTATTTTACATCTTAATTTGCCATAATAATGTAGCTGCAAGCTGCTGTCATTCACCCCCTTCTCGTGACCTTGGAAATAAAACGTTAGATCTCCCCGGGATTTTCCTGGCGAGATGGTTTGAATCAGTGCACATGTACATCCTCCTCTGGATGTTTTCTCAATTTTCCTAAAATATTCTCATATGTGCAGACATGATGACTAGACATGTTTCAGTGGTGCTTGAAACTCGATACAAGTGGGTAATTTAACCATGTAATTGAACAATATTACAGAAACACAGGGAGTCTCCTAGCAACAAAAAGGCCTTGGACATCAAGATGGCAGCAAACATTGCAATTGCCTGACCTAACTTGAAAGGAAATTACTCTGAAGAATATTCTCCTTCCTCTCCCAAGGACAACTGACACCTGGCTACAGGTCTGACCTTGAAGGGCTTTTCTTGCATGTCTTACTCATCCACAGGGTCACAAATGTCATGTGGGAAAGGGCATTCAGGGAATATTTTATGTTTTCCAGAAGCAAGAATAATTGATTCGAGAAATTCACTTTTCTTGTCCCCTCAAGTTTACCACCATGGAAAATAAAGAGCTGCTTAATGTGAAGTAGCTGAGTGCAGCTCAGCACGTGGGTACAGAATTCCCCTTTGTTAGAGGGGGAATTCCTGGAGGACTTTGCCAAGGGAAAGGTGGCACCAGTCCTGTGAGCCTGGAGATCACCCAGTGCTGCTCTGTGCCACCAGAGAGCCCCATGGCTGAGGAAACAGGACACAGAGGGACAGAGCAAGATCTCCTCCCTTCTTCCCTTTCCCCTCATTTTCATTCATCTCTGGCTGCAGCGTTTGGGACGAGGAAAACCACAAGATTTTTTTGTCCAAGTTCCTTTTTGCTGAAGCAAATCAGTCAGCTGAGCTGGTATCCCAGAGGACTGAGGATAACTGTGCCCTTCACTGGTGCAGAGGGGAGGTGGCATCTGAAATGAAGAGCTTCTGAGCAGCCAGGCTCAGTCAAGAGCCATCTCCTCCTGCATGAGGAACCGACCCTCGAGGCTGCAGTGACCCCAGAACCCCAGGGTGGCTCAAGGCACAGAGGGCACCGAAAAAATTCCTCACACCCTCCTATGCTCTGAGCTTCCTTCAGCTGAACAACAACATGAGCCTCTCTATTCCCAGTTCCACCATGACTTAATTTTTCCATCTGAAGGAGCTAAGGCTGTTGCTTCAAGGAAAATACCAAAAACTGCCTGTTTTCTGAATGAAAACTTTAGAGCCCCGGGCAGAGAGACAAACCCCTTCTGACACAAGGATGATGGTCTACTGGTATTTCCCTAAAATAGCAGCAGCTATTTGTGGGGAGTGTGTCTCTAACAAAGATGTTGGTAGAAAAACACTGCCTTGCCAACACCATTCTTGTCAACGTTCCCTTTCCAGCTCTGGAGGCACCGGCCGCTTTCACAGCCAACTTTGCCACCGCTATGGAAAACAGGCTGCACATGCAAGCCAGCTGAAGTCATCCAGACTGAAAAGGGCTCAGGCTGCTGCTGCTACCACTGTAAAAATGTTATTTGGAAAGCCTTCTTCTCAGAGAGCTGTATAAGGAATCAGAAATCCGTGGCAGGGACGCGGGCTCGGGGCTTGGCCGTTTTTCAGCGGTGACGAACGCGACGGAGCTCAGAGCTGGGAACGAAACATCTCTGCCCCTCACAGAGGCCCTCACGAGCAGGGCAGGGTGGCCTCATAAAGCTGGGCTGGCCACGTCCTCTGGGCCACCTTCGTGCACTCTCAGAACTCAGCCGGTGTGGATGGAGAGCTCTGGGGCAGGGCAGAGGGAAGTGTCTCCATTTCATCAGAGGGGTTGAGCAAGAACAGCGCAGAGACACGGCCAAAATCACCAGAGAAAACAAGAAGTAAATCCCTTTCACACTCCATAAGTCAGGCCAGAAATAATTTTGTAATTAGTCAAACAGAGGTCAATGACATGTAAAATTTACAAGCTTTCCAGTGTCTAAGGGAACAGAGAAGCTTGTTTTAGCAGCAGAACGACCCAAACCATTCCTTCCACAGATTTGTCCCTCATGTGCAGCTGTTTGCTGAGTTTGGAACTCCAATTTTCTTCCAGGGCAGACACTGGGTCTCCCTGTCATACCCAGCTGTCTATCTGCATAAGATCTGATGGAATCCCATAATTATAGGATGGTTTCTGCTAGCAGTCAACCAACAATTAAATACAGGAGAAAGGAGTATTTCTATTTCCTTCAGATTCTTCACAGCATTAACTGCTTCAGAGAAAAGGACAGAGTCAGTTCAAGTAACTTTTGCCAGTTCAGCTTTAACTACTGCTGAACACTTGTAGTCAAAGATCTCATCACTCACCTCTCCTCTCCTTTTTTGGTACATTCCCACAAAGTCCAGTGAGAAAGGATTGCTTTCACTTGGAACACAGGAATTCCCAAAGAGTTCTGCACCACCTTTGGGCTTCAGTTTTTGGGGGAGCTCATTTCTCATTTACTATCAGTGCAAAACATCAGATACAGACCAAAAAAAAAAAAAAGGTTCTAGTTGAGGTTTTGATGTTCTGACCCACGACCTGGGGTCTGACAATGGAAGGTACAAAGCACATTTGAACATCTCTGTACTTTGTAGATCCCTGTAAAAAATGCTGACATGAAAGTTCAGGAAAACATTAATAAATTCCAAGTTAATCTGTTGGAAGTACTGGCATCTGTTTGATACTTCACACACCTTAACGAAGAAGCAAAATTTTCTTACCTTCAGGAAAACGAACCTTTTCAAAATCTTGAAGATTAAGTAACCCCAGTACAAATGCAGGCCTTGGAGGATCAACAGCATCCCATTGAAAAAGAAATAGGCTATGACAGGAGTTGTGGAATAGTAGGTTGGCTGATACAGGGTGGCACGAAGGATCCTAAAAAGTAAAGGTCACTGTTAGAGTGCAAGATTTCTGCTCTATTTACAGTTATTTCTAGTGTCATATTCCCAACTGATTAATATTAAAAATGCTCTGCAAAGATGGCAGATGAATTAACAGGCTCTGTCTTAACTAGATTATGCATCTCCATTGAAATATAGACTTCAGAAGGTGAGAAATCTGAGTTCTGGCAGGAAAGTATTCTAAACGAGGTTAGAAGAAAAGCCCTGTTTTTCAGATCTTCATCTCTGTGTGGTCTGGATACCGTGCAGCTCAGAGCTTGTCTAGGCCTTTTTTAATGTAAATTCTCCCTAATCTGAAATCCACACTCCAGAGAAAATCCTACAGGCTTTGCTACAGGGCTTTTTGTTAATTAACATATGTTTTGTCCATCTTCAGACTTCACTACTTCCATATTATCTGAGGCTTTTTGAGTCCCCTTAATCTCACGTTTTGCTCCTGAGCTCAGGAACTGAAGAACAAGAAACTCGGTGAAGCAAAATGATTGGAGATCGCTTGTACAGTTAATCAGAAAATCACAATAAAGTACAAGACACCAGCCTTTCTGAAGGAAAATGCTACAGGAAATGAAAGCCTTGTGCTGATCAATGCTCAGAACCATTAATTTAAGCAGCTTGAGCCTCTGAGGGTTTGTCCACGTGCAGGGAGGGGCACGAAGGCAAATCAGGGCTGTGAATGTGAAACACATTAAACACTTTGAACAGCTAAACACACACTAAGCACAGTGAGCACCCACGTGGATACTGCAGAGCAGATTAAATTATAGCACTGCAAAGCCATCCAAGTATTTAGCAAGTTAAGATTTATTTGTGGTGACCCCATGAATTAATTGGTTCACCTTCACTTCTCTGAGTGCTCCTCAGGTGGGTGAGTGGGGTGAGGCACCACCCAAGAACTGGGGAGCAGAGAGAAGACCCTACAAAAATGGATCACTGCAATCACATACTCTGACTCTGCAGCTACAGCAGGAGGGGTGGAATGAAAGGGAAAATGATTTCTCCTGGTTAAGTAGCTCAACCCCCTTGAAAATGCAGGAGCTCAAAGAATTTAACTACGATTTACAACAAGTTAAATAATACATAAAAGCCTTTCTCTAGGCTAGCAGATCTTCAAGAGGCTCCTTGAAGACTGTTTGCACTTAAGAACTTTTAAAGAAAATGACAGTTTCTGTCAACTCCTCTTGCTATCCCTTAACAGCCAACAACAATGAGAATTCTGCTTCTGCTCTTTAAAGGCCAATCCATCCCTTCCCTTTCTCCATCCCAACCAAGAGTAACCTCTCAGGGGAAGTGGGAATGAAGTGAGAGCCTGTGACTCCATTAAATGTTGCTTACCAGAAGGGGAAGAGGATGATCCTGGTGATGAAGAATGCGATAGAGAAGATGATAAAGAGGATATTGCAGGTTTTCTCCCAGTGAGCATAATTAAACATTTTGGCTGCCTGCAGTGAATAGAAACCACCAAATGCATTGTAAATACTCTCTGAAATAAATTCTCTGCTTTCATAAATAAAGACTCATCTTCCACCTAAGCAGGAAGAAAATTTCCTGCCAGTTTGACAAGTAAAGCAATCGTGTTACTGGTACCTAATAAAGCAGCATCAGAACAGATTCTTTGTTTATGTTTCTCCTCTCATCCTAGAGGAAAGGACTCTGTATCAAAGGCCTAAAGAGCAGCTCTCCAACCAGAATATGCAAGTGTTGTGGGAACACAAAGTGCTCTTGCCAACAGAGGGAATTCCTCATTTTTCTACCAGATTCCAGACAGGCTTGAGTCCAAGAGAAGCTGCTCAGGAGTGGGGGTGGCCCCTCTAACCCAGGTGTTCTGGTGCATCCCTGTTACTGACCCTCCTCTGGGCCTAATTCAGCTTCTGTTTTCTCCTTTTTGAGAGCAGGAGACCCTAAAGTTGGTCTCTATCCCACTCAGAAAGGTTATAATTGCTGCTTCTCCCCTAAATGAACCCTACAGAGCTCTCCACGTTCCATTAGGACCCCCCCTGGGCACTGCTGAGCAGAACAGCTGTTCTCAAGTGTGAGCAAAGCTGCAGGTGCCAAGCTCAAATTTTAAACAAGCAGTTTGATTATTCCCCCCCCCCCTTCTTTTTTTTTTGAGTGGCAGGATTAAGTCATTCTGGTACTCAACTTCGGTTTCCATCCAAGTGCTGTCCTAGCAGTTGCCAGCTCAACTGTCTGCAGGGCCACACAGTTAAGTGGAGCACAGAGCAGTTCAGGATTAAAGGTGATTCAGCAAAAAAACCCCCATTTAATCTGGGATATCTCATTCAGGGACAGCTTGAGTGTCTCCAGCCTGAAGTGTTTAATGCAGAGGTCAACAGTAAAGCCAATTTTGAGGGTCACAGAATCATAGGAGAATTAGTCAAAATTTTGGCTGCTTAATTTGCAGGGAGCTGGTGGAGTCCCCAGCCCTGGAGGTGTTCAAGGAACAACTGGATGTGGCACTCAGTGCTCTGGTTTAGCTGACCAGGTGGTGATTGATCAAAGGTTTGGACTCAGTCTTGGAGGTCTTTTCCGACCCAAATGATTCTGTGACGATCCTGGTCTAATTTTAACAGTGAAACAAGAACAACTCAGGGAATCAGCTGTATTGCCAGTCCCTGTTCTGTACTGTAGGACTCCTCATAATGGATTCTGCAACAGCATATCAGCTTATATTATCTAGAAGCTCCTTTTTATCTTACAAGCTAATTCGTGTCGGGGAGGGATCGCGTGGAACTTGCGGCAAAAGGATTAAAACGCCACCGAAAATAACCTGAGCGACAACAAAAAAAAAACCCTAAAAAAACTAAACTCAAGCCAAAAAACAAACAAAAAAAAAGGTGGAGAGCAGAGCTACCTCGAGCCAGAAATCTGCAGTGTCGTGCACGAAGATCACCAGCGTCCCGAGGCGCACGTAGTTGCCGCACCAAGAGCCGCTCATCAGCCCGATGGCTGCCAAGTGATGGACAACGTGAGCCAGGAAATCCTGCCGGGGAGAGCCAAAAAACAACGAGGTAAAGCCAAGCAAGCACAGCCCTGGAGGGTGTTATCAGCACCCCGGGGGATGCCCTGGCAGGAGATGGGTGTGCAGGTGTGCCAGGCACAGGCTGATGCTGCCCTCATGTGGCTGCACCAAATCCAGGAGCCAGGCGAGGATTTTCCTCACACTTTTTCAAGGAAAGGGAGGTTTTAGCTACAAATAAGCACCACCACTTGCCTTCCTTTTGTTGTCAATCCCAAGGGTAAATAAGAGAGACCAGTAAAACCCGATCTCAGCCATGTAGTACCAGTACTGGGATGGCAGCAGGGTCTGCAATGAAGACAGGCACAGTTAACTCTGGGAACAGCCAAACAGTAAATGCCACAGAAATTACTTCTTTTTTCCTTCCCTGACTTCTCCTGCTCCTCCTTTTAAACAAGCTGAGTCTTGCTTAAAAAATTAAACTAAACTAAATCCCTGTTCTGGGCTTCATTAAGAAGGATGTTCTGGGAGCCAAATATTTTAACCTTTGCTCAGCCCAAAATCTCAATTTCTGCAGTTCCTCCCCCACCTCTGAATTTTAACATGCTTTTCTCCACGTTTTTGTCAGAGAACTCCACACAGAGTCCTTCTGCATTTGATTACAAACAACTGCAAACAAACCCCCTCCGTTTTGGTGAACGATTAACATATTAAATATTCACACACCCCACGTGTGAAATGTCAGTTATTTATGCTAAAATCCCATGGATCTGCTGAGGGCAGGATGCTGGGCTCAGCTGCTCCCTTGGGTCAAGACACTGCCCAAGTGGCAGGTGTGTACAGGGAGTTGGGAAAACTCAGCTGGGAGGCAGAATTCCTTTTGTTCCTGGCCCTTGCCTAGGACAGGGATAAGAAGATTTATGAAACTAAGAATGCCCTGAAGGATTGCTGGGCCTGGAGCAGTGCAGGGGTTCTACACTGAAACTTGGCACCACCCAGAACATCTCCAGGGTGCAAGTGGTATCCTGGGGTGGGTGGAAATAACCATGGCTGGGCTGGAGGGGTGAGTTGCAGCACAGGCAGATGCCAGGGAAGCCCTGGAACAGTCAGCAGGACTTCCCAAAAAAAGGCAACAGGCTCTGGTGCCACACCTCTGTAGGTGGTGCCTGTCGGGAAGGGAAAAGGCTGCTGCAGATTGGGAGGGGCAATGGGGAAATACCTGGAACGCCTGGAGGCCAATGGCCAGATCCCAAAAAGCTCACCTGAAATGGGTATCCAACCCACGTCTGCCAGATGTCGTAAAACCAGGGTTTCTGGGGAAGACACAGCATTCAGAGTCTGCTCAGCTCAGCAACAATCACCACCTTAACTCACAGCCTTCACTGCCTAAAATTTCCCCAAGCAGAGCAGGCTAAGAAGCTGCAATCTTGATAACTGTTCTCCACCACTTCCCAAAGGGGAATCTCACATCTCAGATTTATTATATTGGTCCCAGGTTTCTGGCTGCCTCTCAGGACACCTGAAACGTTCCAGTTCATCATTTCATCATCCAAAGCAGTGGGGGTGTGGTGTTTTATTACTGCAATTACTCAAGATGTGTTGCCACAGCGGTTGGATTCGCTGTGTTTACCAGTCCCACACTCCACTGGCTCAGGAGGATAAACAGTGTTTGGGGAGAGGAGCCAGATGAAGGTGGACACGCCGGGATCTGCTCCGCTGCTCGGGGGAAGCGTTAATGGCACCCCAGGCAGGGCTCACACACTTACAACCAGCACTCTCCCCTGTTATTCCCAACGTGTGACTCAGCAGCAACACCTCAATAAACAGCTGTGACCCCCCAAAAATGCTGCCAGAAGAAAGGTTTATGGCTTCCCCTGAGGGAGGCACAGCCATGTGATGGGTTTGTAGGTGTTAACAAGGCATGCTGCAAAACCATCTGCGTGACTTCTTAAAACTTGCCTTACAAATACTGATTACTCATAAATTCCTTTATCATAGAAGGTCATAAGGTAATTTAAAAATTAAATCTCGGTGCATATTGCAGCCCATCCTCTAGATTACATACACCAAAGATGTGAGCACACAGAGCCACTGAAACCCCTTGGCTCTTTCAATGGGCTTCAAGGAAATCCAGAAATCAGTCCTTATTTTGTTAAAAAAGTGGTATCAATCTTTCAGAAAGTTAACTTACATCATACAGAAATATAAATCCAACAATGGAGGATGTCAGATAGAATGAGAAACGCCAGCTGCAAAATTAAAGTGAAAAAAAAAATCGTTATATTTTGTATAGATATTGTCCTGAGCCAGGATTACTGCAAATCATTGTGAGCATCAGGCAATCTTCACATAAATGTGGCCTCACACTCTACCATCAAGGGTTGTCACACATCAGCTGCATCTGAATTATTCATATTTAAATACTTAAGCTTTGACTAATTGCTAAGGTAGCAAATTCTTTTCCATGATCACGACACATATTTGGATTGTGATGACAGCAGTAATTTTCCAGCCAGGCATGAACTGAGTAAGAGGACGATCGCAACAAGTGTAACAAATCCCCTAAAAATTCATGTTTGCTAACTCCAACCTTTCCCATTGTATCAATCCCTCTAAACCATTCCCACTGGACTGAGAACTCCCCACAGTTCCCTGAGTGCAGAAGGTGTCTCAGCCCACACTTCCCAATCTGACCAGTCTCTGTGTGCACCAAGAGGGACTCGTTCCACTCACGGGGTTCTCTTCATCTCTCAACACCCGTTGTTGACAACAGGGGGATCTTATGAAACTTCAGCAACTACAGGATTAGTTTATGTATTACTACAGAGGTCTGAATTAACTATAAACTTCAATCTCTCACTAGGTGTGCCAGAATTTAGCCTGATCTAAGCTGTCTGTGGATTACGTGGATATCCAGCAAGGCAGATAAAACTTCCAGGTTTGCACCATGGATCTGCTCTGTCAGCAGGGGGGGGGAAAGCTCTTGTGCATTGTCAGTGAGCTGTGGTGTTGCCTTCCTGGGTGTCAGAGCAGGGTGCTGTGACTCGGAGCCAGCAGTCCTGTGATGACTCTGGAGCCTGTGTGGGAGGGATTGTCCCTGGGACTGGGTGTGGCTGCAGCCTCAGCCCAAGCGTTCCCACTCCCACCTCTCCAGGTGATGGAAAACTCCTTCCTTTCCACTCTTCCCCTTGGCAGGAACAAGCCTGACCCTTCCTTGGGGAGCTCTGCAGGATCAGCAGGGAAATACTGGAGGACTTCACATGCAAAAAGAAGGGTCGTGACCACATGGCCCCAAACCTGCTGAGAACTTGTTCTAGAACGAGAGGAGAGCGGCCTCCCAGAAAACCTAAATACGAAAAGAAGGAGAGAGCACCTCAAGAACACTGCGCTCGTGGATTGAGAGATGTGTAAAATGAGATTGTGGTCTCTGGCAAACATTAATGAAGTGCCACAAGAGACAAGGAGATGAGAACCTGGGTGGTAAAAGCAGCCCCTCCTTCCTGAGCCCCACAGTACCTGCAGGGTGATATCCCAGGTGGAGGAATGAGATGTTCAAAGACTGAGACGGCACTTCATGAGAAAAACAACAAACAGAGGATGAGGCCATGGGATGGTGGAGGCGAGACAAGATAATGCCTCTCACGCCTGGGAAGGAGCTCAGGAAACAATTACAAAATTGCCACCTGATGCACAGGTGATAAACAGTTGGTTTCCTTCTCAACTTTAAAGCCTCTTTCACCAGGTGATTTGGAAATAACTCTGCAGAACACCCACAGCATAGACAGGGAAAATTCCGAGGAAAGTCGGAGAGCAAATGGAAGGGGAGAGAGGGAACCACAAGTAAAACCTGGCTCAGAGTTAACCAAGACATGCTAGAAAAAACAACCCTGTGGCACAGGACAGGCTTTACACAGGGGCTGGTGCTGCCCTCATGGCTCCTGTTTCACACAGGGGAGCTGTGAGTGGTCCAGTGGATACGGCAGGACTGATTCCGTGTTGGTTGTAAAGGGATTTTCTGAATCAGACCCAAAGCACAGAGCACCTCCGAGGCTGTGCCAGGAGTCCCCAGCCCTACAAACATATATTGAACACACCTGGCAACAAAGAGTGCTTCAGATGAACTCACTACACTGCCAGACTGCCAGAGCACTACCTCATCTTGCATCTAGCCAAGCTCCTTTATGAATCTGGTGAGCAAAAGCTAAGGTAAAACTCATCCAAATTGACCGAATTTTACCCAAGTGCATTTTAAACTCTTGAGCCTTGCCACCAGGGAGAGCACTGAACAGCAGCCATCCAAAAGGATCTTCTGATTTGACTTCAGGAATCTTTTCTCCTGAGCTGAATGTAACAGCAAAGAACTCAGCAGGGGAAGCTGAAGGCTGGTAAGTCTCTCAGTGCAGGGAAGGTTTCATGCAAAGGGCTTTCCAAACCCCAGTGTTGCTCAACTGGGAGCGCTAATGGCTTAAGTATGGCTTAGATCTGGCTCATCAGATTTTCCTTGTGATTCAGAAAAATGATCCAGGAGATTGCAGGCTTTCAAAAAATTTCATAACGCTCCTAATACCGACTACTAGGGTGGAATAACTCTGTTCCTCGGTTTTTTTTGCCTAGAGAATTATATTCAATTAAATTTCCCTGGCATAGAGCAGAGGAGGGTTCAGCAAATTGCACAAGAGAAACCTGTTTGCTTCATTCTCACTCGAGCTGCCAGGCAAGTTTGAATCTCAGTTTTCAGCTGTGTGTTACTGGAGACACCCGTGGCAGGCAGATCTTTTAGCACTAGCAGGAAATCTTATTGCCACATGTGAAACAAAGCTAATTGATCCACCAAACAACAGCAGAAATAAACCCTGGAGACTGGCTTGCCAGGAGAGTTTACTGAAGTCAGACTTCAGAGAGACACACCTCTTGTCAATCAACTGGATTTGTGTCCCACAGAGGGACTAAATCATCATACATCGATTCACACTGAAAATAATCTTGATACTCAGCTTTGAGCTCTGCAGCTGTACTTTTAACCCCCAATTCTACAGTAACAGGGGTTAAATATTACAAATATTACAATGAGGTGAATTTTTGCCAGTGTAGTTACACCAGTCAAAAACCAAATACACAGAGCATTTGGGAAGTGTCTGACAGGGGTAGAGTTAATGTCAGCACCCAAAAGGGATGAGCTATAGAAGAAAACCCATTTGGGGATTTGCAATTTGTAGGAGATTTTGGGCCCCACTTTAATTATTTAAAGTGTTCAGGTATGAGGAAGCTCTCACAGATGTGTGAAAAATCACATGCAAGAGGTTTTGTAAGTCTTTACATATTCATTACTCTCCTTGGCCCACTCTCATCAGTGTGTTTGAGCTCCTGCTTTGCACAGTGTCCCATGACCAAGCTGTGACACCTGTCATTTACTCAGGATGCCACTTTTCCTGCCCTTGAACTCACTTCAGCACACATGATACCATCCCAAAATGACAGCGTGGGCTCATACATAAACCAGAGTAAACAATTTTTGTTTCCCTATAATTACTGGCAGACAGGAAAATATTTTCCTATTGCCTGCATATTTTCATCCAGCACTTTGCAGCAGGAGCCTACAGATATATCCATTATCCCAAGAGGAGGAAAACTGTAAAATATTTTTAAGTTTGTTTTTTTTTGTTTTCAGGAGAAGCAGTGAATCTAATCTTGTAATCACTATTTGGAGAAATGCTACCGGATCCTTTCAATTCATTTGTGCTTTCACAAACCAAAGCCCTCATCAGACAGGCCCAGCTTTCTGGAAACAAGTCCCCCTTAAAAGATACCTGAGAAGCTCAAATTGTTATTTTTCTTAACCAGTCAAGCACATAATAACCAAAAACATTGTCTTTTCTTACAAAGCCTCCTGGAACTTCCGAAGGACTGTTGGGATCTCCAGGTTCCGCCGTCTCCTAAACCATTTCTCCACCAAGTGGATGGTACAGTTGCACTTCTTGGCAAGGCCCTGAATCTCTGACTGCAAAAGAAATGGAACAGTGTCAGCAGCAAGAGGCACTCCAGTGTCACTTCCATGTGTTTTGTAGTTCACAGAACAGCTTCCCCAAGATCAAAAGTATCCCAAATATGAAGTATATATGGGAGTATTTTTGAGTGACACTCACAGAAACCCTGGATTTTTATTTCTACATTTATTTGATTTATTTATACGGATATATAAAATATAACATATAAATTATATGTTTGTATTGATATAATTTATTTATTATTTATATAAATAATATTTCTATTTATTTATTTATATAAATAAAGCAGCCACGAAATGAACAGATCCACAAACTGTGCTATTGTCTTTCTGGTGGTTCCTGAGTTTCAGAGATGCAACTTTTACTGCTAGACAAGAGGTTGGGCTGGAGAGGGAAGTCCCAACACATTTGGACACTGTATCTAATATCTTACCTAATTATAAATAATTATTTGTTTATATTTAAATGAGTTTGGCAGACAAGAAGTGGCCTGGAATTAAGGTGACCTGAGCTCTTGTTCTTTAATCCATCCCTCTTCCAGTGTGCAGAGCAAGTCAATGTGTCTCAATGAGCAGGACCCAGACTGCCCCCTTCAACTCCTAAAATAAATGAGGGGTAAAGCACGGCCTAGAAGTGCCATGGGAATGGCACACTCGGTGTTTCTGCATCTTGAACTCGGAGGTGGGGCAGCCCTGCTGCACAGCCAGCCCAGCACGTGCCTCCTGCATTCCAGGGTGCTCAGGGCCCCACGTGCAGCAGCCTGGGGGTTTCCTCCCTCTCCTCCACCCCTAAGAGTGGAAGGTGTGGGATGACCCCCCCAGGGGCTCAGACAAAGTGTTTGGTTCATCCCTGGGGAGGTTTTTTCCTCCCAAGGCCAGTGTGTAAATAGTGGGTGGCGGCAGCAGCGCCTCCACCAAGGTGAGTCCAGTTCAGTTGGTCTCCTACCCTCAGGGAAACCTCTGGAATGTGAGCTAAGGCACCTCAGCTGCTGAGGAGGGCAGGAGTGCCAACAGCCCGTGTCCAGCCCATCCTGCTGGCCGGGGAGCTCTCCACTTGCCACGCAGGAATATCGACTTTGTGTTGACCGACAACAGAGCCCAGATGCCCTCAAACTGCCAGCCAGGCCTCTGCAGGCTTTCCCAGGCACACTGATCCCCGAGCTGGACACCAAAGGAGGCAGCCTGGACCCTTCCCATGCACTCATGAGCATAAAAATGCTGTGCTTCCTTTCAGAGATCCCATTGTCAAACTGTTCCCATGCAGAAGGAAGGAATGAAAGAGAGACTGGGATACTTGACCAGACAGAGAACACCAATACATTGATTCCTGATGGTATCAGGCAGAAGACACAATAAAACAATGGTAGAGAGAGGGATAGAATGCAAAGTTCCACGTACCCATAATTAATAAAATCCCTCATTACTAGAAAGCCTTTCCAAACCAGTGTAGGAGCACTGCAGTCATTTAGGAACTTGGTCAGTGAACTTTCTGAGGCTGCACTTCCCAGCAACAACCAAGCTGCCTCACTTTTGGAGATGACAAACACTGGCTATTCTTTTTTCTCCTTGTTCAATTTTCAAAACAAACAGCAAGGTAACAGAAGGATTGCTTTTCTTTCCCACATAAGCCAGGATTAAGTGTGTAGCAACGTAACGGATCAAAAGGCTTCCATGCCCACCTTCCAACATTATTGCTTGCAATAACTATGATGCCACTTTCCAACAAGAGATGTCAGCTGATGTTTTCTCCAGGCAGAAATGAATTAAAGATGGAACACTGATCTTTGCTGGAAGTATTATTAACAGTGTAATCTGGAACAGCATGCCAGGAATTTAAACATCTTAAATGTATTTTCTGTTTCGGATGCCGTAAACCCGTGTCAGCAGAACAGCCACGAAAACCCAAATAAATTAAGTCATCTGTCAATCAGCTGGAACTCATCCCATGATGTCATTGCTGATAGCTGACTGAAACAGTAAGAGTGGGATTTTCCAAAACCAAACCCAGTTTAAAGGAATGAGGATCCTTACTTGGGATGGATGTCTGGAGCACTCCCGGAAATAACTCTCTAAAACAGGATTAGGCTGTGGCTTCACACGTCTTACATTCTTTATGCCCAGGGCTTTTGCCAGAGGAATGGCAACATATCTGAAAAGACATACCATGAGAAACTTCAGAAATACAACAGAGATACAAGCCCTTGGCTGTTCTCATGACAGGATCTGAAATAAATAGGTCTGATGCAATTTACTCCGCCAGTGCTCTGTGAGAGAAAGGGATCTCCCTCCAGCTAATCCCAAGAGGGAACCACAGCACATCAGCAGTTACACAACGAAGCAGACCCAAGGACTCCAGTTTGTGGCCATGAGATGATACAAAACTAAAGGAAAGAAAAGGATACAAAGGTCAGGATGTGTTCTTTGGAGTCAAGCAACAGTTAAGGGAGGGCACCACGAGATCAGCTGCTCTCTCTGTGGGCTCCAGGATTGCCCCTGGGCCGCTTTCTCTGGTGGCAGAATCACTGGGAATGCACTTCATGGGGCCACCCCTGCACATGGCCGTTCCCTGAGGCTCAAGGCTTCTCCTTCTCCCCCTTTTTCCAACCCAAACCGCTGCAGGGTGTGCCAAGGGCTTCTCCCTTCTGCTTGGGCAGGACTTGCTGCAAAAGCCCTGCTGATATCAGCAATTGATTCCTCATTACTCATAGCCGTGGTCAGTTTTCCCTGGATTCCCTGCAGCCAGATGTGTGGGCTAATTATCCACACCAGTGAGACACTCTTGGGCAAGCCTTTCCTCAGGAGACACTGGGAATGGTTAGAAACATATGATCCAAATTACTTTAGATTGCCAACACGAGTGATCTTATCTGCTCCCGTTTTAAGCCTGTCCAACTTACGACATTCCGAATTTCCTCATTCTATCCTGAAATAATTATAAAAACCTACTAATCACATTCTTTAGGGGAAAAAAATAGGAAAAAAAGGGAAAGGCTCGCAAAAAAGGTACAAATAAGTAAGTGAAAGCACTGCAAATCTTAATATAATTGTAGCTTTCTTCTGTGGAGTCAACCCCTGCCTGTCCCCTAAGATTGCAGCTGCAGAAGCAATCCATCTTTCAGTGCCAAAGTGAGGGGGGATAAAAAGGAATCAGCTTTACTAGATCTGCATAAAACGTTCACACGAAACTTTGAGCCCCCTCCAGCCTGCTTAGCTTGGCCCCAGATGGACACCTGGGATCCATCAACAAATACCTTCACCCTCCCACCAAAGGAGGGAAAGGAAACCCAAGGGGTTTAGAATTAATGGTATCTCCGACAAAAGGAGATAGAAGTATCCCAACACTGTTCTAAGGAAGTTAGATAGAGATGTTTTCCTCCTAGATTGGAGCACAGCCACCTATTCCTAGCAGGGAGAACATTTCCCAGTTTTTCACCTGCCCCGTTATCTGTACCAGATCTTTCTAGCAAACCACCAACTAATCCTCCTTCATAAAACAGGAGAACATTGATCTAAAGATATTTGTAGCATTAACGAGGATTAACATCAGCATCAAATAGCATTTCTGCCTCTTACCTTTCACTGAAGAAGCGGATAATCAGCAATACAAAGGCATATGGGATTGTGGCATATAACTGGTGTGGTTTGGGGAAGACAAGGCCATCCCGGTCTACAAAATCTGCCCATGTACAATTGATTGGCATCCAGATGTTCTCCCACCAGAACCAGCTGTTGAGTGTCCTTAATATGTAGGCCATGCTATGTTAAAAACAGAAAAAAAAAAAAAGAGATAATTGAATTTATTCTTCATGTATTGAAAAGAAAATGCCTGAAATAAAACATATTGTTGTGTAGAGCCAGTGAAGTCAGTTTGCTCAGGGAAAAAAATAAAATCACAGAGGAAGCTGAAACCCTCTTGGTGGGATTATAACCCAGCAGAAGATGAAATAATAGAGCTGAATTTTGAGTTGGTGTAAACCAATGCAGGCCTTTGAAATCTGCAGGGGGGGAGGTAATCTGGGGCCTCATTTCAGTCACTCACACTGGACTGCTTAGCACCTGCTCTAATTTGCAATAATCATTTATAATCTATCACACCAGTACTAATGAGAACTGATCTTCCCCTGGCTGCCTTCACAAATTAAACATAACAGGGTCAAGAGTGGAAAAGAAATGAGGAAGTACAGGGGGAACTCAATTCTGTAATAATAAGGACATTTTGCTGTTCAATTACCACTGTTTAATATGCTAATAGCAATATATCCTGAATTTGCAGACACCTGTGCACAGGAACAAGCAGAAAAAAAAATACAGTGCAGAGCAAGTTTTCCTGGGAATTGCAGGAAGTACCATGATGAACAAAATGTCTAAAATCACTTCTGGAAGGAAAGAAAGATTTCACTTCAACTAAAATATTTCATTCCTGTAAAAGTCTCATTTTTAGCCTTTGCATTCAAAATTCTGTATTTAGAAATTTCTGGTCTCACTCATTTAGCTGTAAGGACTTCACAGTTACAAACATGTTATATCAAATCCTATAAAAATATCCTAACACTGAAGAAATATAGAAGTTACAATAATGTTTTCCACAAGGCTGAAATACGTCATTTCTCTATCATTTCAAGGAATAATAAATCTAAATACATTTTTCCATACCAAGATTTTCTGTAAACCAGGAAAAACACGAGGAAACAGCTGATGCCATTGAAACACAGATCTGCTGAGGAAACAGCTGAGCTGGGAGGATTTTAAACAAGTGCCCTCCCAGCATCCCACTGGAAGATCGTACAGCGGTATCTTTGGAGGGGATCAAGTGATGAGATCAAATCATGCTGAGGTCAGACAGTAGTTCAGAGTTTTTCCTGTCCCTCCATATCTGAGCAGGGGCCACAGGACTTTAGTTGTGCCTGGAGCTGGGTCAGGGCACGGTGCTCAGTGCGGTCACCCCGGCATTCCGGATCAGGAGTGGATCCCACTTTAATTAACGGCCAAACGAACCATCCCTGGGCTTTAGGGAGGACATTGGAGTGTGTTCAAAGAAAGGTCTGGAGCACAAGTGCTGTGAGGAGCAGCTGAGGGAGCCGGGGAGGCTCAGCCTGCAGGAGACCTTCTCACTCCCTACAACTCCCTGACACGAGGGTGGAGCTGGACAGGGATCAGTCTCCTCTCCCAGGAACCGGCAGCAGGACAAGAGGGCACAGCCTTGAGCTGCCCCAGGGGAGGTTTAGCTTGGACATTGGGAAGAAGTTCTTTACAGAGAGAGTGATCAGACACTGGAATGGGGTGCCCAGGGAGGGGGTGGAGTCACCGTCCCTGGAGGTGTTTAAGACAAGACTGGCTGTGGCATCAGTGCCATGGGCTGGGTGACAAGGTGGGGTTGGGTCACAGGTTGGACTCGATGATCTCAGAGGTCTTTTCCAACCCGGTTGATTCTGTGATTCTGTTTCCACTGAGCTGGAGAGTTGCAGCAGATCTGGGAAACAGGGACCTGGACCCACCAAACAGCCACTGGGGACTCATTTCCTGGCCAAGCCCAGTAGTCAGAACTCAGCCATTAATAACCCACCATTTAAATCTTTTTAAACACCAAAAGGGGACAGTAAAAACCTTCCCAATGAATCACGTGTGTAGAACCAACTGCAAAAATAAAGGAGGGAGAAATCACAGTGGTTCCCCCACTCAGACTTTATATGCCAAGTTTCAGCCTAGAGCAGTTTTTTTACTGCTGGATTATAAACTCCTGGAAGTGGGGATTTATCCCAGGGCTGCTCTCAGACCCTTAACAACAGCTCACAGGCGCCATCAGAGCGAAGCAGGGCTTTGAAACAGGACATTTTGGGTCAGACAGAAAGGCTGGCAGACAAACTGCCCTGGAAGAGCAGGGGAGAGACTCATTCCACAGCTCTGCCTCCTCACATCTCTGTATTTTTTAACTAGACCGTGCACTGCAAACTACCCCGAACTGGAATAAAAAGAGGCCAGTCTGTTCCAGCACAGTGGAAAGAGCACTCCCAGCTGGATTGTGGGAAGCTGGGTCAGGATAGAACATGCACCCAAAAACCTTAGGAGAACCCAGCAGAGCATATTTTCATATTGGATTCCTGGGATCTCACCAGTTCATGTTTTCCTTCCACACACCATATGATTACCTCTTAAACTAGTTAATAGAGCACTATTAAACTAAGCTCATAAGCACATGCTTGGTCTTAAAATTTAAGGGAATTCCAGGATTTGAGGTCTGCTCCAGAGTTCACAGGTTTCAGGAGAAATCCTTCCCCCCACAAACACAAGTGACTCACTGGAAGGTGGGTTCTCTGAAACTCTTCTTTTTGTAATCCCTGGGTTTGTACCAGGACTTGCCTGGCACAGGGAGGGGGTCAGACCATCCCTGGTGAACACTGTCCAAGTAATTCCTAGAAAACTGTTGAGGAGATTCCAAATCTGTCTGCAGCCTATTCTTAAGTTTCATTACCCTTAAACTGGATATTTTCACTGCTGCAAATCAGGCCATTCCCCAGGAAATCTTGAAGATTCCCATCTCCACAAGAGCAGCTGTTAAGTAAATGGGCTGTTTTCCTGTCTCCCCTCAGGTCTCATCATGAGGTTCCTGGAGCAGCTGGAAGGTGAGGAACACCAGTGGCCACCCGTTCCAGCACTGGGATCAGGCTGTAGATACCAGATTTCAAGAGCAGCTCATCTTTTCAGCTTGCACAAAGTTGTCACAAGTTGCTTCCAAAGAAGGGGCAGTGGATGAAAAGGCCCAGCTTGGCCTGATTTGGGACCAGCTCTAAGGAGAAGCTTTAAAGCCAACCCAGCCTGAAGCTCCTACTGCAGGTGCTGAGCTCAGAGCTTGTAGCAGCACCAACAACCAGGAGTGAGAAACGACAACAGCAGGTGACTCATATTCTACCCAGCCAAGGCTGAAAAAAAACACCCTCTGCCTCTTCCCAGCTCCCAATCCGTGCACCAGCACTGTCAGGATTCACTGACAAAACTGGAACTGTAGCTCTGGAAGGGACTAAAATTCAGCCTAACAATAAAATGAAGATATTTAGGAAAACTGAGGTTCCTCTGCATCTCAGAAATTAAATACTCCCAAGTAAAGAAATCTAATCACCTCCTTGCTACCGAAGCCTAATCTAGTTTTAAATGGGTTAGTGCAAAACAGGAAAATCAGGAATGATTGCTTCAGGAACTGCATCCTTTATAATTAGGGGAAAGCCTACACAGTTGGAAAGTACCAATGTGAAGTCTCTTTCAAAGCCCTGTTTCTTGAATCCTTGATACATTGGATAAAAGAACCCAAAAACCTGACTTTTAATACCATTAAGCAGAAAAAAAAAGAAGGAAAAAAAAAAAGAAAAAAAAAAGGCACATTCGGGTTTGACAAAAGCTGTGTGGTTGCATTTTGCAAAACAAATTCAGGAGCTGCTTTGAGGTGAAATTTCTGGCTGCTGCAGTCTGAGGAATGAATAAAAAGAAACAGAGCTAAAGCTTTGATTGTATTCTCTGCACAAAAGAACTTGCGTGCAAAAACTGCATTTTCAAAGCCAGGACTAAGAGAAGGTGATACCCAGGTTTGCAGGATGTGATGGGAGCATTTCCCATCCTTATTTACCGAATAAATTAGAAAAAAAAAAAAAAAAAAAAAAAAACCACAATGGATCAACAACACGAACGTGCAAGTGAAAGAAACCTTAATTTTTAAGCATCTTATCAGTCTCCTCTGTGGCTCCAGAGGTGTAACAGGGAAAGAATGTGATCAGCAAAAAGCAAGAATAACATAATTCTCCTATTTCACTCATAATTTGGCAGAACTGGTAAAGCTGGTGCAGTGAGTGTTGGGAAAAAAATCAACTCTCTCAGATATCAAGAGATAGCAAAGCTGTTCCGGGCTGTTAATCACCAACATTTAATCAGAAGTGGTTTAAAACAGTAAACAAAGATCAGATGCAACATACCATGACTTTGTTCTGGGTTTTGTTGGAGGCTCTGAAATATATCCAAGAGTAAATACATGAATTTTAGCAGCAGATCGGTGTTTTGCTACAGACATTCACGTGCAGGAACAGGTGGACAGATGTGGGTGTTTGGTAGAGCAAAGAGCTGACGGGAGGATGTTGGGTCGATGCCACCACCCCTCTGCACGTTGTCCTTCCAAATGTGCAAAGTTAGGATTCCACACAACCCGAGCCCAACATCCCACCCAGCCCACACGTCCCACCCGTGGCAGAAGGGAAAAAAAGGAGCTGCAGGAGCCGGGGGATCCTCGGGTGAAACGCTGAAGGGCTCCACCCACACAGAGCAGCTGAACTGAGATTGCTGCGAGACCTTTAACTCCACTTTTCCTCCCTCACTTGTACGGATCTCAGCTGTGAGCAGTTTAAGTGCCCACTTACGGGGCAATTACAGCATTTCACTTCTTTCACTGTCCTTCTTGTAGCTTGGGCACTACACTGAGCAGGCTAAAGCAGCACTTTGAGTAAATCTCAGTTAAGGTGGCAAGTGAGTTTTCTGCTTTTCACCTGTTCTCTGGGTGGGGAGGAAAATAAAAATATATATATATATATATAAAAAGTGAACCAGACTTCTTTGAAATGATTCATTTTCTGGGTGGAAGTTCCCATGCTGTCTCTACTTAAAGGTAAATCATTTTTGAGCAGCTGAAGTGGTTTTAGCTGACAGCAGGTTGCTGAAGAAAGTGAAATACAGTTCTCTCACCATCCAATTACAGGGCAAACTATGTCCATTTTTAAGCT